GTGGTTTACAAGAAAATAAAGACATCAAACACTAGAGGGAAGCAAAAGACTTGGAGTCCAACAAGTCCTCCAGCCCCCTGGGCAAAGTTCCCCTGGCCTCTCAGTGCAGTTGGATTCAGACACAAATAAACCTGGGGGGAAAAGTCAGAGGGTATTTGCAGTGACATTTCCAAAAAGCCTTTTAACTGAGCATTGTGTGTTATGGAGGGATACTGCCCTGCAGATCTGTAGGAATGAGGTCTGGTGTACTTCCCATGAGAAGGGAAAAGAATAGAGGACAACAATCATGTTGGTGCTCCACAGGGACTACTAAGAAGCAATTAGAAAAATGTAATGGAAAACATGAACAACATTCTTAGCAGATGCACACAGCTTATGGGATCCAGAGGAATGAAGAGTGGCTGCTCCAATCTCAGTCTCTTTTTCACCTAACTGGAGTCTCCTGATGACTGTTCAGTGACTGCTACCAAAAGCCTGATTCATCTCAGACTTTGTTCCCACTGAAGAATAAACAGTAATCCAACCCAACACGTGTCACCTCAGCCCAGCAACATGGTGGCACCTTTGGCTCCTAACATCAACAGTATAACTGGAATAATTTATGGTTTTTCTACAGCATGTTGCTCTAGTTTGCCTGTGGCACTTCAGGGAGGAAAAAGAAAAAGTAAGTTTAAATGTTAGAAGAACGGGGTTGAGTCAGATGTTCCCAGTGGGGCTGGTACCAGCTCCAGGATGATCTCACTTTGCCCAGCCTATCTTTTTTTCAGTAGTTCTCATTTGCCTTCTCCTCACTGTGAAGAATCTCACTTAGAGGTTTTGGCAGTGGCTGACCAGTGAAGTCCCACAACAGCACCCAAAAGTGTACTTTGGGTGAGATCTTTATCTTACACAGCCCCTGCTCAAGAACTCACCCTTCATGCTCAGCAACAGCAGAGCCCCATGAGAAGGAACCATCCCCATCCACTTCTCACCATCTTCCACTCCCAACCCTTTTAACCTGGGTGAGTTTTTTGTTGTTTTTTCCCCCCTCTGGTTATCTGAGAGAGCACAAGCAGCCATCACAGGGCAATTCCCCCCAGTGAAGAGGTGGTGTGAAAGGCAGGAGCCTGGCTGCAGTGTGATGTCCCATCAGGTAAGGCAGAAGATAAAACTTTCACTAGAGCAGGTCAGTAATATTACTTTGCTAAATGCAATTCTTTGCCACTTTTTAGTTTCATACCCTGCTTTGATCCTTCAGATTCTTGCTCCTATGCCCTGCACTGTCCATCCACACAGCAACAGCAGCTGCTTCCACCAGTGTCCCTGGAAGAACTCTGTCACACCAGCTGGGATACTACTCAGTGGGTGGAAGCCCTCCAAGAGCAGAATGTGCAGCAGGAACTTTGCAAGGTGTTACTTCTGCAAGGAAAAGAGGAATCTGGGCTGGGAGCAAAGTATAAAACTGTGCAGTTAAGTATTCCAGCAGGATATGTTATCTTCCCTTCTGGACTTGCAGGATTATGTACTATGAAGGAGCTGCCAGATTTCATCTCTGATAGATGGTTTGAACTCCACCTACAGCTGCAGATCTGTTCATTATAAAACACTTGTGGAGAGCTAAGATTTGTCTGTGACAAATTTATTTGCCCATGACCAAGTGAAATGATGATGTCCCATGTGGAAACCATACTGAAACCACTGGAATGCAGGCATCCAACCTGCACTTTGTCAAGCACTTTAGGATGCTCTGAGATGAAAGGCAGTGCAGAGCTCCTGGGAAGAATTAGCTAATGCTGGCTAATAGCTTAGGTAGCACCTCCAAAGAGCAAGAAATAAAATCAACCTTAACTTGAAACTCCATTATATTCTCCTTTATTTCTGAAATGTTAGGAGAGTTACACAACAATGGCAAACAGCAGAAGTAACAATAATAATGAAAATTAATTCTGTTACAACAAAGAACAAAACAAGCTTTATGGAACAAGTCCTGCTCTCAGTCTTGAGAGGAAGCAGAGTGTGCACAGAGCTGGAAAGAGGGGGCTCTAGTTCTAGTCTCAGTTTTAACCCCATTTAAGGTCACTGCCATACACCCTTTACACAACAGGGGCTTGCAGTCCATGCATCACCCTACAAGAGACTTGCATTTCTCTGCCCTCCTTGAGCCAGAGTACTCACTGAGAGTTAACTGTTATAAAAATATAAGGGGTTATTATTATTATTTTAACTAGCTGAACAGAAAATGCATGTCTCAGAAAATGCAGGAGACTACACTGAGGCAAAGCCTGCAAGAGCCTGCAAAGCAAGAGGCACACAAGTCTCACCAGGATGCAGCATTCTGTTAGCACAGTGAGGATATCACTTGGAATAACTCAGGCAAAGCACCTTTACCAAAACACTACACATATTAAAAATTTGCCTCCCCATGAGAGGCAGGTTAGTGTCCCATGCTGGGGCAAGAAAGGCTGAGATGAGAGAAAAAGAGGGGAAACCAACCTGTCTGGAATTGCACTGACCCTGCAGCTGAGTGGGGACCCAGGGGTGGTCCTGCCTCAGCCCAGTGCTCCCCTGCAAGCCAAGCCCCCTAAATTCCACCTGCAGTACCAGCCACAGACCTCATGGCAATGCCACAGACTGGCAGATACAATGTAAGGGACACAAACAGATTCTCACCAGTATTTAAGGGCAAACAGACTTTGATAATTCCTCTGTATTAAATAAACAAAACTCTCCAGTTTTGCACTCTGTTCTCTTTTTCTCTTTTTTTCAACAGTTTGAGAACACAACTGGTTACCCAAGAGTCTCACCTGGGTCCCTTTCAGCCAGAATTTTAACCTATTAAATTACATACTGCTTTTGAAAACCACCATTCTGATCATCAGCCCAGTCACACAACACTCCTGAAGAAAAAAGGGCCACAAGCTCAGCTTGGACTCCCATCTTGATCAGTTTGGGTTATCTTGGCCTGTCTGACCATTACCCAAACTCAAACCAGGGCTCAAAGCAAGGATGAGGAACTCCTAAAGCTGGCCCTAGTGCTTGTTTCAGAAAGCATATTCATTTTTTTCCCCCCCTCCTTAATCTATTTTGCAGCCTAGAAGTCAAACAAAATATTTCAATGCCTCTGGAGTGTCTGAGCAACCCCACTTTGTGCTGGTGTCTCTATGAGCTGTGCTAAGCAATTTGAACTGGCAAATAAAGATCTCCAACCTTTGACTCACAGACATGAAAGGGAGGCAGAAAGACATTCATGACAATTATTTGAGACTGTGCCACCTTGATGGGATAACCAGCACAGCCTTAGGCACCTGCAGGCGTGCAAAAAAAAAGCTTTCAATCAGCCCCAGCCAAAGGCAGCCTCGTGGCTCTCTCCTCCTGGGCCCAGCCCCAGCCCCTCTTCTCCACCCAGCCACAGGTCTGCCCTGCCTGGGCACTCTGCAGGGGGGAATCTTAAGTGAGGGTAAAGGCAAATCACAATACACCATCCAGAGAGCAGTGGAAGAGCTAAGCAAACAAAAAAAGATAAAGATGTGCCCAGCTATAGCTTAGGAAGGGTCACCTCCACTCTACCATTATGTTCTGTGGTTAATATTTTCAATACTTGAAGGCATTAAAATGAGGGCCCTAAATATATGTATTCTTTAACATCATCCTCACTAACAGGGAGAATTAACAGCTATAAAAACTGACGTGCTCCACGTTCCACTCCCATAGGAAGTGTGCATGGAAGCACATCCCAGCTCCTGAGCAGTCACATTCCCAGTTGTGGGAACACCAGTTGCAAGCAGAGCAAGACTTTAAGACTGAAAGCACTTCAGGACTGAAACCACAGCATCACCCTCACATCTTCCCTCCTAGTAGTTCCACACAAACTCCTCTCCACACTTTCAGCACCCACAACATCCCAGAGACCCCACCCCAGTTCTGTTCAGCCACCAAGCCCACACACAGTCCCTCCCCCTCTGCCATTCTCCTCAGAACCCCAAAGAGAAGGCTGGGAACCTTTGGCCACCTTCCCCCTTACACAAGAACACAAGCCACTGTCATGCTCACAACAGTAGGAAAGACCTTTTCTCCTGTGCCCCATGGACCACAGGTGTTACCTGGTTTGGGAATGGTGCCACAGAATGTCCCAACCAGTTAGAGGAGCTGTGTAAGACTTCAAATCCTCCAGCCTTCCAATGCTTTCCAATGCTTCGATTCCAACACTGAATAACTGATTTCCAAAACATTTCCAATTTTTTGACATCCCCACTTGACACACTGTTCATATGAAGTCCCCTTCAACCCACAGCCCCACTATCTCAGGTACCTGCTCCCCAAATCCACAAGAACAGACTCCTCTCCCTCCCTGATTCCCCTTCTGAGACTCCAGCCCATGAAAACTCCTGACAGGCTCACCAGAGGAGTGTGCTGTTCCCCTGGCTCCTCGTGGGCTGCTCAGGAGAAGCTATTCCCCTTGTCTGCCTGCCTGTGCTGTCATCATACCTTTGTTCTGGTGTGCACACAAGCTCTGTGTGGCCTGGATCCACCCAAGGACTGCAGGAAAATCACATTCCAGATTCCACACAGGAGGTTAGCCCTCTGCATAATATTCCTGGTTCTGATCTAACTGAGACTGGTATTACAGCCCTGTAACTCCAGCAGCTGCAGTGTCTGCTCATGCCAAATTTGATTTGGTCTGCACTGAAACAAAAACAAATCAACAAACAAGCTTAGAGTGAGAAATACAGAGTTAGGCTTCCAGAGCAATTCGGAGCTGATCCCAGCCCTACCCCTGGTCTTTTGTGTGCCTTCCTTTGCCCTGTAAAATGAGGATATTGGCATTTCCCCATTCAGAAAATGAGGTATTTTTGTTGTCACTTGTGAAGGCGTGTGCTCTTTGTACATCACCTGGAACATGTAAAGTGCTAGTGACACTGATTCATGCCAGCCTATGAGAGATCACAATCTGGCTTTGCTGTTATTTTTCTAATGAGTATAATACGTGGAAAAATGCCTGATATAATGATGGCTCAAGATTAGTGATGCAGGTTGGTTTATTTAAAGCAGTAACATCAAAGCAAAAGGTCTGCTGATGCAGCTCATAAAAATCATTGATGCATAAAACCAACAATAATATCAAGAAAGAAAAGGGGAATGGAGGATTGGGAGAACAGAAGAGGAAAAGGCACCCCAAACCCATCATAAGTGCCCACAAGACAGTCTAACTCTTTCAAGAAGCATTTGCAAATACCCTTGTGCTTAGTGGGGAGAAAGTCTATGTGAAAAAAAAAAAATCTATGGTAACTGGAGGGCCGTGATATTAAGAGGCATCTCTCTTCCATTTATCTATCTTTGATTGAAGCTTCTGGTCCAGCCAGCAGCTTGGCAATGTCTTCATTTACAATATTCCTTCCTGAAATCTGAAAGCAAATTGAAACGAAGGTCAGTACCTGCAGGGAGATTTCAAACCTTCCAAAGCAGCACACTAATATGGACTTAACTACTGAGTGATAAGTGGCCATTTGCAGTCAGCCATGTCCCCAGTACCCTCTGCATGAAGGTCAGAGTGGGTTATAGTGTGTATAAATTATTGCACAGACCATCCCTGCAGAATGCATGGCAAAAAAAGCATGAGAACTCCATCAAGAACAGCAGGTCTAAGGCATGGACTCTCTAGACCATTCCCCTCTTGATATCATTTCAGTCACATTTACTATGTTCTAAACTCCTATGCAAGCTGTCATGCAACCTAACAGCTTCTTAGAAGCACTGCCTGACATGAGTCTGACTCTGCACACTGAGGTGTAACCCTCAGGACTAATCCTGGATAAGCAAAAGGAGACTCATCTGCTAGGAAAGGAGAGTGGTTTGCTGGATGAAGTAAGGAACTACCCATTACCCACAAACCAATTCAACTCAGAACACTCTTCTGCACAGTGTTTTCTTCTCAGACACCATGCCAGGACATTTTTGAGATCCATCTCCCTCTGGGGTTACAGCACAGGCTGCACTATTCCAGCCCTGCAAGGCATTCTTTTCCAGCACAGAAAAATTCTATTCGTGCCATGCCAGAGGTTTTTAAAGGCCTAATCACTACTTGCATCTTGTGGCTCCATGATGAAAGGATGGAAAGGGAACTAGCTTCTCATTCCTTACGTGATTTCT